CTTTCCTGCTTTGTCAAAGATGAGTTGGCCATACGTTTGTGGGTCTAGTTCTGGGGTTTCTATTCTATTCCATTGGTCTATGTGTCTGTTTTTGTGCCAATACCATGCTGTCTTGATGATGACAGCTTTGTAGTAGAGGCTAAAGTCTGGGATTGTGATGCCTCCTGCTTTGGTCTTCTTCTTCAAAATTACTTTGGCTATTCGGGGCCTTTTGTGGTTCCATATGAATTTTAGGATTGCTTGTTCTAGTTTCGAGAAGAATGCTGGTGCAATTTTGATTGGGATTGCATTGAATGTGTAGATAGCTTTGGGTAGTATTGACATTTTGACAATATTTATTCTTCCAATCCATGAGCAGGGAATGTCTTTCCATTTCTTTAAATCTTCTTCAATTACCTTCATAAGCTTTCTATAGTTTTCAGCATACAGATCCTTTACATCTTTGGTTAGATTTATTCCTAGGTATTTTATGCTTCTTGGTGCAATTGTGAATGGGATCAGTTTCCTTATTTGTCTTTCTGTTGCTTCATTGTTAGTGTATAAGAATGCAACTGATTTCTGTACATTGATTTTGTATCCTGCAACTTTGCTGAATTCATGTATCAGTTCTAGCAGAGTTTTGGTGGAGTCTATCAGATTTTCCATGTATAATATCATGTCATCTGCAAAAAGCGAAAGCTTGACTTCATCTTTGCCAATTTTGATGCCTTTGATTTGCTTTTGTTGTCTGATTGCTGATGCTAGAACTTCCAGCACTATGTTAAACAACAGCGGTGAGAGTGGGCATCCCTGTCGTGTTCCTGATCTCAGGGAAAAAGCTCTCAGTTTTTCCCCGTTGAGGATGATGTTAGCTGTGGGCTTTTCATAAATGGCTTTGATGATCTTTAAGTATGTTCCTTCTATCCCGACTTTCTCAAGGGTTTTTATTAAGAAAGGGTGCTGGATTTTGTCAAAGGCCTTTTCTGCATCGATTGACAGGATCATATGGTTTTTCTCTTTTTTTTTTGTTAATGTGATGTATCACGTTGATTGATTTGCGAATGTTGAACCAGCCCTGCATCCCAGGAATGAATCCCACTTGATCATGGTGAATAATTCTTTTTATATGCCGTTGAATTCGATTTGCTAGTATCTTATTGAGAATTTTTGCATCCATATTCATCAGGGATATTGGCCTGTAGTTCTCTTTTTTTACTGGGTCTCTGTCTGGTTTAGGAATCAAAGTAATACTGGCTTCATAGAATGAGTCTGGAAGTTTTCCTTCCCTTTCTATTTCTTGGAATAGCTTGAGAAGGATAGGTATTATCTCTGCTTTAAACGTCTGGTAGAACTCCCCTGGGAAGCCATCTGGTCCTGGACTCTTATTTGTTGGGAGATTTTTGATAACCGATTCAATTTCTTCGCTGGTGATGGGTCTGTTCAAGCTTTCTATTTCCTCCTGATTGAGTTTTGGAAGAGTGTGGGTGTTCAGGAATTTGTCCATTTCTTCCAGGTTGTCCAATTTGTTGCCATATAATTTTTCATAGTATTCCCTGATAATTGTTTGTATCTCTGAGGGATTGGTTGTAATCATTCCATTTTCATTCATGATTTTATCTATTTGGGTCATCTCCCGTTTCTTTTTGAGAAGCCTGGCTAGAGGTTTGTCAATTTTGTTTATTTTTTCAAAAAACCAACTCTTGGTTTCGTTGATCTGCTCTACAGATTTTTTAGATTCTATATTGTTTATTTCTGCTCTGATCTTTATTATTTCTCTTCTTCTGCTGGGTTTAGGCTGCCTTTGCTGTTCTGCTTCTATTTCCTTTAGGTGTGCTGTTAGATTTTGTATTTGGGATTTTTCTTGGTTCTTGAGATAGGCCTGGACTGCAATGTATTTTCCTCTCAGGACTGCCTTCGCTGCATCCCAAAGCGTTTGGATTGTTGTATTTTCATTTTCGTTTGTTTCCATATATTTTTTAATTTCTTCTCTAATTGCCTGGTTGACCCACTCATTCGTTAGTAGGGTGTTCTTTAACCTCCATGCTTTAGGAGGTTTTCCAGACTTTTTTCTGTGGTTGATTTCAAGCTTCATAGCATTGTGGTCTGAAAGTATGCATGGTATGATTTCAATTCTTGTAAACTTATGAAGGGCTGTTTTGTGACCCAGTATATGATCTATCTTGGAGAATGTTCCATGTGCACTCGAGAAGAAAGTATATTCTGTTGCTTTGGGATGCAGAGTTCTAAATATATCTGTCAAGTCCATCTGATCCAATGTCTCATTCAGGGCCCTTGTTTCTTTATTGACCGTGTGTCTAGATGATCTATCCATTTCCGTAAGTGGGGTGTTAAAGTCCCCTGCAATTACCACATTCTTATCAATAAGGTTGCTTGTGTTTATGAGTAATTGTTTTATATATTTGGGTGCTCCGGTATTCGGCGCATAGACATTTATAATTGTTAGCTCTTCCTGATGGATAGACCCTGTCACTATTATATAATGTCCTTCTTCATCTCTTGTTACAGCCTTTAATTTAAAGTCTAGTTTGTCTGATATAAGTATGGCTACTCCAGCTTTCTTTTGGCTTCCAGTAGCATGATAAATAGTTCTCCATCCCCTCACTCTCAATCTAACGGTGTCCTCAGGTCTAAAATGAGTCTCTTGTAGACAGCAAATAGATGGGTCTTGTTTTTTTATCCATTCTGATACCCTATGTCTTTTGGTTGGCGCATTTAATCCATTTACATTCAGTGTTATTATAGAAAGATAGGGGTTTAGAGTCATTGTGATGTCTGTATGTTTTATGCTTGTAGTGATGTCTCTGGTACTTTGTCTCACAGGGTCCCCCTTAGGATCTCTTGGAGGGCTGGTTTAGTGGTGACAAATTCCTTCAGTTTTTGTTTGTTTGGGAAGACCTTTATCTCACCTTCTATTCTACATGACAGACTTGCTGGATAAAGGATTCTCGGCTGCATATTTTTTCTGTCTAGCACACTGAAAATCTCGTGCCAATTCTTTCTGGCCTGCCAAGTTTCAAAAGAGAGATCAGTCACGAGTCTTATAGGTCTCCCTTTATATGTGAGGGCACGTTTACCCCTTGCTGCTTTCAGAATTTTCTCTTTATCCTTGTATTTTGCCAGTTTCACTATGATATGTCGTGCAGAAGATCGATTCAAGTTCCGTCTGAAGGGAGTTCTCTGTGCCTCTTGGATTTCAATGCCTTTTTCCTTCCCCACTTCAGGGAAGTTCTCAGCTATTATTTCTTCAAGTACCCCTTCAGCACCTTTCCCTCTCTCTTCCTCCTCTGGGATACCAATGATGCGTATATTATTTCTTTTTAGCGTATCACTTAGTTCTCTCATTTTCCCCTCATACTCCTGGATTTTTTTATCTCTCTTTTTCTCAGCTTCCTCTTTTTCCATAACTTTATCTTCTAGTTCACCTATTCTCTCCTCTGCCTCTTCAATCCGAGCCGTGGTGGTTTCCATTTTGTTATGCATTTCGTTCAAAGCACTTTTCAGCTCCTCGTGACTGTTCCTTAGTCCCTTGATCTCTGTAGTAAGAGATTCTCTGCTGTCAGCTATACTGTTTTCAAGCCCAGCGATTAATTTTATGACTATTATTCTAAATTCACTTTCTGTTATATTATTTAAATCCTTTTTGATCAGCTCATTAGCTGTTGTTATTTCCTGGAGATTCTTCTGAGTGGAATTCTTCCTCTTGGTCATTTTGGATAGTCCCTGGCGTGGTGAGGACCTGCAGGGCACTTCCCCTGTGCTGTGGTGTATAACTGGAGTTGGTGGGCGGAGCCGCAGTCAGACCTGATGTCTGCCCCCAGCCCACCGCTGGGGCCACAGTCAGACTGGTGTGTGCCTTCTCTTCCCCTCTCCTAGGGGCGGGATTCACTGTGGGGTGGGGTGGCCTGTCTGGGCTATTTGCACACTGCCAGGCTTGTGATGCTGGGGATCTGGCGTCTTAGCTGGGGTGGGTAGGCAAGGTGCACAGGGGCAGGAGGGGCAGGCTTAGCTTGTTTCTCCTTAGGTGATCCACTTCAGGAGGGGCCCTGTGGCAGCAGGAGGGAGTCAGATCTGCTGCCGGAGGTTTGGCTCCGCAGAAGCGCAGAGTTGGGTGTTTGCGCGGAGCAAGCACGTTCCCTGGCAGGAACTGGTTCTCTTTGGGATTTTGGCTGGGGGATGGGCGGGGAAGATGGCGCTGGCGAGCGCCTTTGTTCCCCACCAAACTGAGCTCTGTCATCCGGGGGCTCAGCAGCTCTCCTTCCCTTTGTCCTCCAGCCTTCCCGCTTTCTGAGCAGAGCTGTTAACTTATGACCTCCCAGCCGCTAAGTCGCGCTTGCTATCGGAACACAGTCCGTCAGGCCCCTCCGCTTTTTGCAAGCCAGACTTGGGGGCTCTGCTTGGCCGGCGAGCCGCCCCTCCGCCCCGGCTCCCTCCCGCCAGTCTGTGGAGCGCGCACCGCCTCGCCGCCCTTCCTACCCTCTTCCGTGGGCCTCTCGTCTGCGCTTGGCTCCGACGACTCCGTTCTGCTAATCCTCTGGCGGTTTTCTGGGTTATTTAGGCAGGTGTAGGTGGAATCTAAGTGATCAGCAGGACGCGCGGTGAGCCCAGCGTCCTCCTACGCCGCCATCTTCCCCCCTCCCCCGGTACTCACAAATATTTTCTTTTTGATTAGAGTTACTGATTATAGAGTGTTTTCTATTTATCAGCTACTACGTAAAGCCCTTTGTATTGTTATTGCCTTTAATTCTCACAGATGTCCAATGAAATGCACATATCTTTTATTTGGAACATTCCATCTCCGGATCTTTTTTTTTTTTTTTTTTTTAATTTTTTCAATGTTTATTTATTTCTGATAGAGACAGAGCATGAATGGGGGAGGGAAAGAGAGAGAGGGAGACACAGAATCTGAAGCAGGCTCCAGGCTGTGACCTGTCAGCACAGAGCCCCACATGGGTCTTGAAACCATGTACTGTGAGATCATGACCTGAGCCGAAGTCGGACGCTTAACGGATTGAGCCACCCAGGCGCCCCTCTCTTGATTTTCACATAGGAGAGTTTTCCTTCTGTTTCACCTCAGATATCTCCTTCTCAGAGAGGCTTTCCATAATTTCCATCTAAAGAAGGACCCAGGATCTCTCTAACATATTATTTACTTTTATTTCTTACCACCTATAACATAAATATATAAAATTATCTTTGTAATTTGCCTACTTGTTATTGTTTTCCCTCCTCTGACAAACTAAACAATTTAAGCTCCATGATATCCTGTATCTTCTCTGTCTTGTTCATTGGGGAACTTCTAACACCTAGAATGGTGCCCTGTAGAGATAGATGTTCAATAGCAAATGATTTCATGTTAGTTCCATTGAACCGAATCTAGTAAGGTTGACTCATTTACCCCAAACCAAAGAACTTGAGAGGGGTAGAATTGGCAATCAAACCCATGTTTCCTCCATTTCAACGTTCATGTTCCTCACCATGACCTTCAATTGCTCTCAGATTATTTTTGGATTCTACCTAAAAATTAAAAAAAAAAGAAAAGTCATTCTATTCTTGTGTGTACCAATTCAGAGTCACACTTTCAAACATCTTAGACAAGATTGTTATCTCTAAGACAGCCATGAATGTTTTCCAGATTCTCAGATTTTTTAGTTTTCTTATAATAATTCAGTCATTAACGGGATGTTCATTTCTTCCTTTAGTTATTAAGAAACTTCAAGAAGATCCTTTAGACTTTTTTCCATGTTGTGATCTAAGAATGCAGCCAGTTTTTGAAATCCTCTGTTGTTTATTCATTTAGTAATTTGTAACCTATATAAAAAGTTATAGTAGTTCATTGGTCTAAGAATTTTTGCACTTATGTGTTTAAGACAAACATTATCAGGTCTGACTATGGCATTTGAATAATTTGTGAGGTACCCAGCCTTCCAATATTTTAAAAATAACTTTTGATTTATTGTTATGACAATCTGGGAGCTGGAATTTATTGGTATTATGTTTTCAACATCATTAGTACCACCATTCTATTACCCAAAGAATTAAGATTTCAGTCCTTGAAGGAGAATGATGTTGGCATTTCCTTCTCTATTATTCATCCATGAATGAGCATCAACCATTTATCAAGAGAAGGAAGAAATTAGAAGGGTGATGATTTTATTGTTAATTGAGAAACACATTTTATTGAGAAATTGAGAAAGACATATATGTAAAAGGTGTTTTTAAGTAAGTACATTTGTTTACATTTTACTAAGTTCTTTAAAAATGGAAATTATGCTATAAAAGCAATTTTATCTGAGAATCAATTTGATATGTTAAGCTACAGACGTTTATTAATGCTTAGCTATAGATATATGTAAAGAAATTAAGTATAGCAATTAAAGCAGTTTTAATCTATTTTATTCACAATATTGGGGTGAAACAAAGTCAGAAAACATGTAATTCCAGCTATTAAACTATACAAATGTTTCCAATGGGATAGGTAGAAAAAAATTTAAAGTATCATCTAAAAATAAAGATTTTAAACAAATGAACTTTTAGTCTACCTTTCAGAACACTGATTGGTTGTTTATAAAAGTTACATAAAGTTACATAAGAAAATACGTTGGTTATGTTATTAAGTCATTGTTTTTATATAATTTCTGGTTTCTATAGGTCGACTCTATTAAGGAAGATGCTACCTACAGGAAATAAAAGGGCAAGAAATTTAAAAAAGGTTTCTACTTTATCAAGATACTCATCATCTTGGAAGTATAGAGCATTATGAAAGATTAAAAAGTTCTATCCAAATTTAATTGATATTATGATTTTGCTCAAAATATTATTAAATAAAAAATTCATATACACTTTAACTTTGTTAGATGAGACTAATGATCCATTGTTGTTGAAAATGTATGTAAATGAAAAGCATTTCAAGTATAATTTTATAGTGGAGCATATTAAAATATTCTAGGGTTATGTGGCTTTCTAAAATAATTTAAAATTCATTAACCTAATTTTACTGTGGAGATTTTTTTTTTTTGAACCTATATTTTTGATTTTCTAAAGCAGATTTGAGAGGTCAATGTTACTACTTAGTTCCTGCAATTATATTTCAACTTGGGGAAACTTGCCTCTTTATGAGGTCACCAGTAATATTTTATGATTATTCCTCATGAAAACGTTATTTAATGATATTTTATTTGTTTTTCAAACTAGTAACTTTTCCAATGGTAAGATGGTTTTAATTTATTTAAGGCAAGAAGACATAAATTTTCCAGCATAAAAACGAAGAAATGTAAAGCCAGCCACCTGGGACTAGTTTTAATAGTAGTATACTCATAGAAGGTATTAAAGACTTAATACCAACCAAAGTAATTCATTAGTTTTCTCAGATCATCTGTATTTAAATAGTAGCCAAATAAACTTTGCAGATATATTGAAAAAAATGGTATGGCTCAGATTGTTACCAACTCTTTCAAAGTACCTCAATAATAATGTAGAGGTTTCCAGGTTATGGAATAAGCTTGTTAAAGTTGCCCATCTTGAGAAAGTTCCCTTGTTTAATCTGAAGAGTTTATCTCTATGCCCACGACTGTCTGAATATCATGCTCTTTGCACTTACATTCTTAATCCTCAATGTTGAATATATATATAATTATTTCTCCATTACATCAGCAATATTTAGATATTAAATGTGGGTACCTTTGGAAGTTCTCTTAAATCATAAAGATGTTTGGGGACAACACAGAATACTTAGCTAGTTAGTTTTAATAAAAAGTTTAAACACTATAAAGTTTTGGTTCATTATATTGATACATAAAGTGTATTATTTACAGCCTTCAGTGAAATTAAATATAGCTCTGCAGTGTTACTTGTGCATTTCAGAATTACAAGGCATTTCTAAATGAGGTAGAACAATATTGATATTAACTTACGATTCCCCAATTTTATTTTGACTTGAGTCTATATACAATAGTTGGGAAAAGTGAAGAATTGAGCTAAATAAAAATGGTTGAGATAAAACTTTGGTATTCAGAAAAATGCTGCTGGTGGCGGTGATTTTTAAAAGGCAGGAGAAAATCAGAATCATTTATGAAAATTTTCAGTGTACATTCTCTATACACAAAAAGACTTTACCAGGAGCTGCAAATGAGAGCATAGTCTTTGGAGACAAATAGACATGGTTTTGATTTTAAACCTTGTGCCTTATTGGAAATATAATCTTGCACAATTTACTCAAAGCCAGATCACAAATCTAGAGGCCATGCCTACAGTGGCCTGGGGATGCTGACATCAGTGAAGTTGGCAGGATAGGAATTTGGCAAGCTAGAGTGGCTGTGCCTCATCCACATTGGACATTACTTGTTTCCATGCTCGGTGTTGTTAGATATTCTGATTTCTCACAGAAGGTGGGTATATATTTTCTATTTTCAAGACTCTGCTCTTTTAAAAAAAATTCGGCAAGTAATTAAAGTATTCCAAAGATACCTCTTTGGCTGAAATTCAGATTATGGATATCAGAATGTGATGTCTCCCTTTGTATTAAGCAAATAAACATTTATTTCCTAATAAAAAAAGTTTTTGTGAAGATTAATGAGATAATGTCAAAGTTACCAGATCTTTAATAAAGGTTGGTTACCATTGACCTTTCTTATTCAATTTTCAATTCTGTTCCTTAATCAGTAGAATCATCCATAATAGATGCAGCTTTTAGCCTTTGTACTTATTACAAGATATGGATTTAGCTTTTATATTTAATGAATTGTGTTTATTTAAAACTATCAAGTAGAAAGCATAGTTTCCTTATCAATTTTGGAAAAATTTTGAAAAAATCTTAGTTGTGAAACTTTGGTCAAGTAACTTATTTTCTTTGTTTTCTTCTCTGTAAAAATGGAGACAGTACTTTTTTCTGGGAAAAGGGTTAGGTGAGTGTTAGGTGAGGAAATCTATGTAAAGGAGCCCAATAGATACCAACTTATCTTTTCTTTATTGTTTCTACCTTTCTGGTTGTTCATTTATTAAACTAATTGATTAATTCTTGGGTAATCTAATCCTAGATTTTTAAATATGACATTGTACTAGATCATGGCTTATTATTTAGCCAAATTTTAAAGGTAGATGAACCTTTGATTCTGGACACTTCCTCAATTCATGTACATTTTAAAAATTACTTGTTATATTTTGAGATTATTTTACCTATAAAACAGTGAAGTTTTTAATGTTTTTTAATTTTTAAAGTAGACATTAAATATTTGTTGGATAAATGAATAAAGTACATTGCTAGAATATATATAACACTTAAAAACATCTTGAGCATGTCAACACACAAATCAAGAGATCATATGACTCAGTAAATTCAGTTCCACAAAATGTATCATTGTCTTACTCTTCTATCAGGAGATTCCTTTGCCTTTTCACTCTATATCAGGAAATATGATTTGTAGCAGAAAACCTTTACCTAAAACAACAAAATGATTATTGATATTAACTATGCAGTAAGAAATGACTTTCAGATGCTGTTGTAGTTCCAGTCACGTGAATGAATATAGAAGTCACACTTAGAGTAGGATACATATAACTTTGTTTAAATGATCTTAATTCCAAATATATGAATCTAAAAGTAAAAATATATATTATATTTTAATTAAGCTACTTTTAGAAAGAAAAATAAGAATATGCTATATTCAAAGGAACAACTGGATAATGATTAGGCTGTAATAGTGAATCATTATGTGTGATAAATATACCTATGACTTAACTCCACTGATCAATTACATGACCTTCTTTTCAAGTAGGCTTCTCTTCTGAAATTTTTCTCATGACTACTACCTGTAATGTAGTTTTTAGACCTAGTGTCGTCCTTTGTTACTTTATTCTTTTTGGTTTCTCTCTTGCATTTATCTTTATTGACCACTTACCTCTTGGTACTCCTATCCTTTAACTTTCACCACCTAATGAATTCCTAGTCCTTTTCCTTTTAATTTCATCTGTTCTGGTTAGGCTTCCTGTCCTGCAAACCCACTCAGGTTTATTTTTTATGTTAGGTTAGAGTTACACTGTTTTTGACAATGGGCTAAGTAAGATTTACAAAACAGCAATAAAACAAAAAACTGAGACTGACTGATAACTTCTAAATTAACTGTAGAAATTGGAAGAAAACATTTCAGGCCAGAAGATGAGTTAACATGTTAGAAATTATGTAAAAATGATTACATTAGTAATTATGAAATTATCAGTAGATATTTAATATTTGTTGAATACATAAAAGGTTGTAATAAATCTATGCCATAAAAAAGAGAGATATTACCTGTTCTCATATTATTTTGGAGTAAATACAATATAATATTTCCATCAAAAGAACCTTAGTATGGTGTCTCATACACAGGAAAGAATAAGAGATAATACAAAATGTTTCTGTGGTTTACCAGGCTTTGGAGTTCCTATGGTTTTTGTTTTTGATAACATTAAACACCTTTCAAAAACAAATGGCTATAAAGCTTATCTGAACTGAGGAAGGGTAAAAATGATCAAAGTGTTCTGGATCCATAGCTTTAAATGGTCTTATACCATTTTAAAACTGTATAATGCTGAAAATATGTTCAATATTCAGTATATAGTTGTTGAATTTTTCTTATATTGACAGGCTAGATGAAAATGAAAGGTCAAGAATGGAAAAGTTGATCAGCACATAGCTTTAGCAAGAATTGAGGTTATGAGTAAGAAAAACAATGCTGTCATTCTTGGAAATAGAGGTAACTGGCATTTTGGAGGTGGATTCAGATTGAATTAATAATTAGAGCAAAAATCTTAATCATTTCAAATTTAGTATTATTTATGAATACATTTTTAAATTCAAATTCTTCTCTGACTTACACGTTCCTTTTTGGTCTTTTCTTAATTTAATCATTATGCTTTTCTCTTTGCTGCTTCTTGCAGAAGACTTAAAATGAACGATCTACTTCTGATTTTCGGTGCACGCTGTGCCCTTTAGAAAGGTTGGATTAATGTATTGTGTAGGTTTCTCTTTCCACCTCCTGAAGCTTACTATTTAAAAAGCTTTCACAGCTAGAGAATCTGATGATAAATCATCTTGTTTACAAGCAGCTTAACAAATGGTGGCTGGTGATAATAACCTATTAGTTATTAATTATAAAAAGTAGACTATATATGTTTATATCACAGATGCTCACTACATTGAGAATGATACAGTCTGGGGACTTTTACAACTGTATTTATTAGTGTTTCAAGTAATAAGAATCTCAGAATGGGGAATATATTACTTAATTCCATAAGAAGGGCAAACTGAAACAAACAATTTTGTATGGTCTAAAACACCTGTCATTAATAAAGACTATAATAATTTTTAACCACTTATAGTAATCTATTACTTTGAGTAATAGAAAGGTTCTAGAAATTAATTAAAATGTCAAAAAATAGATTTATATTGCCAGAAAAAATTATGTTAATCAGTATCAAGTGAAAATATTTCATTCTTAAGTGCCAAAATATTTAAACCAAGATTAAATGATTTTTAGCTAAGATTAGATTATTTTCTGGTAATAAAATGTGTCAAATCTTAGGTTATATTTATTAATATAGCTTTTGTTTTTTATAAACCAGAACAAAGTCTATATATAGTTGGCATATTTTATTTTTTTATTTTATTTTTTATTAAAAAAAAATTTTTTTTTCAACGTTTATTTATTTTTGGGACAGAGAGAGACAGAGCATGAACGGGGGAGGGGCAGAGAGAGAGGGAGACACAGAATCGGAAACAGGCTCCAGGCTCCGAGCCATCAGCCCAGAGCCCGACGCGGGGCTCGAACTCACGGACCGCGAGATCGTGACCTGGTTGAAGTCGGACGCTCAACCGACTGCGCCACCCAGGCACCCCAGTTGGCGTATTTTAATGGCAAGTAATTTTAGAAGCTAAAAATAACTCTATAAATTGTGATTTGGAATTCAAATTAGATATTGTTGCTTAGAGCCAAATGGACTTCATAAATTTTAGAATTTATTAAATTACTTGTTTAAAATTGGACAGCTTTTTTGTTTCTCTTTGGGGAAGAATCCAGATCTAAAAGGAATCTATGTGTGACAAAAAATGGATTAGTGGAAACATTGTGAAAGCTTTATGAAGGTTTATTTTACAGGAGAAAGTAAACAACTTTAACTTTGTATATTTAGTTGGCTAGGAATATTTAAAATAAATTTCCATCCCCATAAAGATGAGTCGTATTAAAAAGTCCAACTTTTTGACATTGACTTTCATTATAAAAAACCTCTCAACTCTATATTTTTTAAAGTTTATTTATTTTTGAGATAGTGGGAGACACAGTCTGAAGCAGGCTCCAGGCTCTGAGCTATCACCACAGATGTCAGGGTGGGGCTTGAACTCGTGAAATGCAAGATGATGACCAGAGCCAAAGTTAGATAGATGCTTAACCAACTGAGCCTTCAGGCGCCCTCTGTCAATTCTATTTTGCCTTTAAATGTTTTGATGATTATGTTATTTTATTTTATTTGAGAGGGAGAGACAGAGAGAGAAAGAGAGTTTGTGTACGCTAGTGGGGGAGGGGCAGAGAGAGAGGAAGAGAGAGAATCCTAAGCAGGCCCCATGCTCAGCGAGGAGCTTAACACGGGGGTGGATCCCATGATTGGTACATTATGACCTGAGCCAAAATCAAGAGCGGGACACTCAACTGTCTGAGCAATCCAGGTGCCCCTTGATGATAATTTTAAAGAAAATCTGTATTTGAGAATAAAGAATTTAAACCATATATATATATGTGTACATATATATACATATCTATCTATCATCTGTCTATCATCTGTCTATGGTATTGTGTGTTTTATTGTTTCCTTTTTCTTGTTTTGGTGGTAATTTGGTCTTCTAATTTAGTTTCTTCAGATCGAAGTTTAAAATATGGATTTGGGACCTTTGTTCTTTTTAAATTTAAGCATTTAATGCTAGAAACTATGTTTTAGGTATTGCTTTAGCTTTATTCCACAAATATTGATGTGTTGTGTTTTGTTTTTTTTTCTCAACGCAAAACATTTTATAATTTCCTTTATGTTTTCTTCATTGGCCAAAGGTTACTTAGAAATGTTGCTTCAGTTACAAACATTTGAGGAGTTTCCAGGCATTTTTCTCATAGTGATTTCTAGGTTAGTTCCATTGTAATTATAAAACATATTCTGTATGATTTAAACTTTTTAAATTGTTCATGTTTGTTTTACGTCCCAGTATATCTTTGTGGAGCTTCCATGAACATATGAAAAAAGTATTTATTCTCCCATTTTTAGATGAAGTATTGTATAAATGTCAATTAGGTTAAGTTGGTTTATAGTACTGTCCCAATTGTCTATATCTTTACTGATATTCTCACTTGTACTAACAGTGATTCAGATAGAAGTGAAGTCTAACAATAAATTTGTCTATTTCCCTTTTTAACTTTATCAGGTTTTTTTTTGTTTTTTTTTTTTAATTTTTTTTTTTCAACATTTATTTATTTTTCGGACAGAGAGAGACAGAGCATGAACGGGGGAGGGGCAGAGAGAGAGGGAAACACAGAATCGGAAACAGGCTCCAGGCTCTGAGCCATCAGCCCAGAGCCTGACGCGGGGCTCGAACTCACGGACCATGAGATCGTGACCTGGCTGAAGTTGGACGCTCAACCGACTGCGCCACCCAGGCGCCCCTAACTTTATCAGTTTTGATTTGTATATTTTAGGGCTGTGTCTTAGGGATATGTACATTTAGATTAATATGTCTTCTTGATGAATTGACTTCTGTACCACTATGTAATGTTCTTTTCCCTAATTTTTACTTATTCTGATATTTATTTTGATGTGATTTTTAATCATTCCAACTTTGTTTTGATCAGTGTTGAATAATATATATTTTTCTTTTCTTTTACTTGTAACTTATTTGACCTTGTCAAAAAGGTGTCTTGTAGATAATATACAGTTGGCTGTTTCTTTTTAATCCAAGTTGATAACACATGCCTTTTAATTGAAGAGTTTAGACTATTTACATTTAATATAATTATTAGTTTAATAATAGGGTGGCCATTTATCTACCATTTTGCTATTTGCTTTCTATTGTATCACTTTGTCTCCCTTGTCCTTCTTTCACTGCTCTATTTTGGACTAATTATTTTTTATGATTTCATTTTTTCCCCTTTATTGGCTTATTAACTCTGTCTTTTTTTTTCTTTACCTTTTTTTTTAACATACTCAGTCTAGGGTTTGCCATATACATCTTAATTTTTCATAATTTACCTTCAGATAGAGTTTTTTCTGTGCGTTTGTTTTATCTTTTATGTTACCCTTGGCATACATTTTGCTTCTATGTATAATATAAATCCTACAGGGGCGCCTGAGTGGCTCAGTCAGCTAAGTGTCTGACTCTTGATTTCAGCTCAGGTCATGATCTCACGGTGGTGGAATCTAGCCCCGCATCTAGTCTGCACTCTCTCTCAAATCTCTCTCTCTCTCTCTGCCCCTCTTGCTCTCTCTCTCAAAATAAATAAATAAACAAAAAAATTTTTGGTTTGGACAGTCCTGTATCTTTTATTTATTTATATATTTATATTTGAGAGAGAGGGTGCAAGTGAGCAAAAGGCAGAGAAAGAAGAGAGAGAGGGAGAGAGAGAGGTGGTGCTCACTGGAAGCAGGGCTCGTGTTCATCTAAAGTGGGACTCCTGCTCATCTGAAGCAGGACTCAAACTCACCTGAAGTGTGGCATGAGCTCACTGATGTGGAGCTTGAACTCACGAGCCATGAGATCATGACCTGAGCACACGTTAGATGCTTAACTGACTAAGCCACACAAGTGCCCAACAGTCTTTTATCTTTTAAAGTCATCACAGATAAGAAAAAAATCTTTATGCTTACCTTTATTTTATTTTTTCTGGCACTTTTCATTTCTTTGTATAAATTCAAATTTCCATCTGGTCTCATGTTCCTGCTGAATGAAGAATTTCCTTTAACATTTCTTGAAGTGAAGGTCTGCTGGCAATGATTTTTTTTCCTGAAAAAATTTTTATCTTAAATCTTAAAAAGTATATATTTTTTATTGGGTATACTGTTTTACAGCTGTGTCCAGTAGGTTAATAAACATGTCAAAGAAATTCTCCATATCTGATATTATGCTTGTAATATTTATGGCATTTCTTTTGACTCTTATTTTATAGTTTCAGTATCACTACTGAAATTTCCCATTTGTTTTTATATATAGTTCACCTTTTTCTAGAAGATCTGCTAACATATTAATTGTACTTAAAACGATGCTGTTTGATAGTGCCACCATATGGAATATCTCTGAGTCTAATTTTATTGATGGGCTTATCAATGACAATAAAATTTTTCCTTTGCTTTTTTGCATATCTCGTAATTTTTGACCAAACGCCAGACATTGTGTACTGAAGAACAGTAAAGACTGAAGTAATAATTACTTTATCTCAGAAATGAGGACATTTCTTCTGTCAGGTTGTTACTATGGAGGGATGAGTCAGTTTTGTCAGTACTTGACTTGGGTTTGGGTTTAGTTGTTGGTGTTTTAATCTTTATTGCACCACAGGCTTTGAATTCCTATAGTGGTGAGCTGTTGTTATCTTGTGGTAGGAGTGGAGTATGGAGTGCTGGGGGGTTTCTTTCAATGTTCCTCCTCCACCTTCAGCTTTCAGCAGTCCTTTCATGTCTGTACTATAGACGATCTCTGCATGTTCTTACCCCTCTCCTACAAATAGATTGCTGTTGATTGCTGCTCATGTTAGGAGAGGAGGGTACTCTATTATCCTGGTCTAGATTCATTTTTAGGTGAATTCTATGGTCCTGGGCTTTGGGGGTGAAGTTCTCATAGACCTGGCTTTCTTTCTCATGTCAGCCAAACCCAGCCTTTTATATATTGAGAATCTTGGGTAGGAGAGTATTTCCTGCTTTTTCACCAGTAGCAGCCCTCTGCTTTGTATCAGTGTAAGATCTTGAGTCCAAGAGATTTATCTGCTCCTCTTTTAGGAGCAGAAAATTATGCTTCTTCCCTTTCTCCTCATCCCTCAGGAATAGTAGATATGTCTATGTCTTGGAGACAGGAGGAATTCCTATTTATTTCCCAGAAGCAGATGGGATTATGCCTCTACCACACCCCCAGAAACAGGATTTTTACCTGAATTTTAGGAGCAGTGGCACTTCATGTCTTTAATCAGCAACCTAGTGGTTTTTCCTTTGACAAGAGAAGGAACTGAGAAAGCACATAGATGTTTTATATATGTTCCTCTGGAGTAACTGATCACCCACATATCTGTGTTACTGAGGGCGGTTCTCTCCGGTTTCTTGCCCTGCCTTGAAATTTTCATGAGATAGGCTCGTGGAAAAAAGCTTGTAAAGTACAAAATATACTTCTCTCTAGGGATTTCAGTTTTTCCAAACTTACATACCAGTCAATCCTCAGACTTTAAGAATTTGTTAAAATTTAATGTGATTTATTCTTACTTTTATGGTGATCACCTCATCCTCATATGCTTTGTGAAAGGTGATATTTTCTTTTCAGACTTTGTGACTCTTTGGAATTCAGTGCATTTACTTGCTTTGCAACCCCATCTCTCCTGTGGACTAAAGAAAAATGTTTGATAGCAACATTCTCTTGTGGTTTTCTGATCCTAAGCAGACGCAAAACTTCCTTTACTTTATACTTGTTTTAGTGCCACCAGTCAGAACAAATATATTAATTTAGTAGAATTAATCTTGATAGGAAAACAATATGGTCCACTTAAAAACAATATGATCCACTTAATTTGAAATTTAAGGAGCACAGTAGTCATGATTTTAAAAGAATTACAATATTGAAACATGATCAGTGAAGCTATTGATAAGTTGGACATGAGGCAACTTGATATTGGTGTCTGGAATTGTGAATGCAAATAACAAATTATATGATTTTTCATAGACTTCTATGATTATATTCATGACAAAAATATTAGTTTTGCCATATGTTGGTCAGATAAGTTTCTTGGAGGAAGTGAAATGTGAATTTTGTCTTAAAGGATATGTGGCTCAAATTAGCGAAGAAAGAGAGACGGTCAATCCAGATGACAGAAACAGCAAATTCAAAGGCATGAAAATAGAAAATAAGTAGACATTATGGTATATTGGAAAATAGTAAAGATACTAGCTTTGTTTTGTTTATCTATATCAGAGGTTGGCAAAGATAGCTATGAGCCTCATCTAAACTGCTGCTGTTTTTGTATGGCCAGTCAGCTAAGAATGGTTTTTACATTTTAAAGGGTTGCTAAAAAAGAAAAACAAGAAGGAGGAGGAATAGGAGAACTGGGAGGAAAAAGAGGAGCAAGAAAAGGGAGAAGAGAAAAAGGAGGAGAAGAAAAGGAGATAAAGGAAGCAGAAAAGGAGTAGGAGACAGAGCTCATATGTGGCTTGCAAAACCCAAATTATTTACTATCTAAACTTTCACAGAAAAATTTTTCCAATCCATGAACTGTAGCTTTCTTATTGTTATTCTATTACAGGGAAATAGACACTTCCCCCAATTTTCCAAAATGTGTACTAAGATAAATATAATTGTCATATTACCTAATTTCTCTTTCATTTGCTTTCAATTGATCTATCAAGTTAAACTGCTTATAATTATACTTGGACCTATATATATATTTTAAACAATCTATGATAAATTTTTTCAGTTATGATCCATTAAATGTACACTTATGCTTTACATATTGCCCCACCTGGGTTTTACATTGCCCTTTCCTTTGTATTGATAAGCTAGATACAACCATAATTTCGTTTTTCAAATTGCCGTAAATCTATCACATAGTTAAAGAAACTGTGGTGAGTTTGAGGATTTGGGGGCTGATCAAGGAATAGACAGAACCGTGAGATAACAATAATATATAACAAACTTGGACAGCATAAGACCTTCCAGAGACAGTAGCACAGGGCCACAATCTGGAAGGAGAAGAGGACAAGGTAACTCTTTGGGGAGAGGGGGATCACAGAGGGAAATTAATGTTTAGGTGATGGTGTTTAGGTGATGTCGCTTGGCAACACAGTGAGCAGAGTGGGAGTCTCTGGGTCAGAGAACTCAGAAGGACAATAATAATTTGGGGTGTTTCATAGCCATGAAACCTATGGCTGTTAGATGTTGAGTGTTTTGTGGAGTATGCAAAGCAGCCAGGCTCTGTATTGCCAAAAATACACTTATTTCGGCTATGTTTAAAACAATTGGATGGATGTGTAAGGATTTGAGTTCGGAGCTGGTGGTCTTGGTTCAATGATCTGAACCTGCTGTTAAGAAATAAACATGGGCACTAAATACACAGAGACTATCTTTAACCTACTTAGATACCAGAAACAAAATAAAACCAGCTAAAGAGGGCCACCTGGGTGGCTCAGTCAGTTAAGTGAGCGACTTTGGCTCAGGCCATGAACTCACAGTTCGTGGGTTTGAGCCCTGCATCGGGGTCTGTGCTGACAACTCAGAGCCTGGAGCCTGCTTCAGATTCCGTGTCCCTCTCTCTCTCTGCCCCTCCCCTGCTCGTACTCTGTCTCTGTCTCTGTCTCTCAAAAATGAATAAACATTAAAAAAATAATAAAAAACAAACAACCAGCTAAAGAGATCTCAAGGAATAAATACTCACCCCATCAATGGTGAAACAGCAGGTTGACATTAGATTCTTTTCACAGGAAGATAGCTTTGACTTTCTGATCTCTTTTGTGCCTTTCCCTTTTTACTATTCCTATTTGCCATGTTTTGTCAGATGGCTGAGACAGCCACATGAGTTAGAGAGAACTGATTATCTAAACCCCTTTTGTTCTCTTTCTGTTTGACACTGACAGCACTTGGTATATCCTCTGAAGATGAGTGGCTGCAGGAAAATAAAAAAACTAAATCTGATATTCTGGCTTTTTATCTTCAGATTTTAAAATATAGGTTAGGGGCACCTGGCTGGCTCAGTCAGAGGAACATGTGATTCTTGGTCTTGGGATTGTGAGTTCGAGCCCCACATGGGGTTAAAAACAAAATCTTTAAAAACAAATAAATAAAAATATGGTATAGATTAAAACATAAGAGTGCACTCATCTTGATAAGCACTGAGAAATATATGGAATTGTTGAATCACTACATTGTACCCCAGAAACTAATATAAACTGTATGCTAACTACACTGGAATTAAAATTAAAAAATTAAAAAATTGAAAAAAAGATCAACAAAAACCAAAATAAAAGAATGCTGTTTAGATAGCTAACTGTGGGATTTGATTTAAGCATTTTATACTTGTTTTCCATTTTTATAGACAATAGCATCATTTACAAAAGCAAATGGTGTTTTCATAAATATTGCTTAAATTTTAACTTCTGTCTGGTCAGATCCTCAATTAAAAAAGTGTTGTTAACTGGTAAAATATTTGAGATCCTTCAGTGTGCTTTTAACTTTTTCATCTGCATCTTCAAATATGCAAAGGAAATAATTTATTTTCATGGGGAAATTCAGTTCGTTATATAAATTTGTTCAGGACTTGGAATGCAGAAGGCAGAAAGCCTAGGTGCATTACTTTCTGACATCCTTTTCTCTCAGCAAATAGATACTAAACCACAAGAGGAAGATATCTGCTTTTTGTTTCAGATATTTTAGAAAATAGTTTATAAGTCTTACAGTCAAATCTGATATTGTTCAGTCATAGATATAAGGATCAAAAGAATGTAAAAGTCAAAGTAAGAATAAGGGAAAAATAAACATGAATTCATTTTTATTGGTCTTGTTTTATTAGTGGATTTGACAGAAGAATTTCATAACATGCTTTCTTCCAGTTCATTGCCTGACTCTGGCTTTGATGATCACTGGCTCCTCCATAAACCCAGTGGACTTTATGGTGAGGAAAACTGACTCCTGTTGTTAAGTAAAATGTCAAGATAAACTCAGAGTTTTTAAGGTAGATATTTAAACCTTGGGTTACACACACAGCAGAAGTAAAGAAAACACATATTTGGACATTCAACTTTCAGAGGTGAAGACCTGATAATTATACTAGCAGTGACCTGTTAAATAATGATCATGGTCTCAAACATTTGGTAATAAATCCCTCCAGCTTAGAAAATTACTAACATTTGCTTCTCAACCTTGGGGTCAACAAGACTTCATAATTCTGGGCTTCATGATTTTTTTTAAGTTTATTTATTTTTGACAGAGAGAGTGAGCATGAGCTAGGGAGGGGCAGAGAGAGAGGGAGACACAGAATCTGAAGCAGGCTCCAGACTCCGAGCTGTCAGCACAGAGCCTGACACGGGGCTTGAACTCACAAACTGTGAGATCATGACCTGGGCTGAAGTCAGACGCTTAACTGACTGAGCCACCCAGGCACCCCTGGCCTTCATCATTTTCAATCAAGACACTAATTTATTTATGTAATTTTTACTAGGATCAAGAAGTATCAGTAGAAAATAGTATTATAGAATCCAAAAGATTATTTCTAAGAAACTTGTTGATTAATGTTAGCAACTAAATTGTGTCTCTTCATCAAGATTTGTACGTGGAAACCCTAATTCCTAATGTGATTTATCTAGAAGTAGATTCTTTAGGGGCTAATTAATGTTAAATGAGTTAATAAGGATGGCCCTAATTTGATAGGGCTGTGGCCTTAGAAGAAGGAGATTCTCTTTTTCTTACTCTCTCCATCTCTCTGTCTCTTTCTCTGATTCTCTCCTGCCATGTGAGAACATAGTGAGAAGGCAGCCATCTGAAAACTGGAGAGAATTCTCACTAGAAATTGAATCCTGCTGGACTTTGATCTTGGAATTTCCAGCTTCTAGAGCTGTAAAAGAACACATTTCAGCTGTTTAAGCCATTCAGTCTATGATATTTGTAAAGCCAGCCTTAGCTAACTAAGGTAATTAATTTGCATTACGTAGCTATCTTAATTTTATGCAGTATATATGAAAATAAATAACCTCCTTGAAATACTTAAAAGTCTTTCCCCAAAGGAAAAACAAAAACGCAGCAAACAAAATAACAGACTAGAGATGTTGATAATGGATCCTGAAGTCACCTTTCAGTTGCCTTTTATGGTTAGGGATGAGCATAGCATGGCTTTTCTTCTTTCAACAGACCAGAATTTCTTAGGAAATATTTTCCATTTTCCAGAGGTTAAGGCTTTCTTTCAAATTGTGTACTGTAGATGTTTAATTAGATAAATACTCAATATTATGCCTGGTAAGATTATGTTAAGATATAAGCTCATAACTATCTGAAGTTTTATTTCTTTTTGCTCGTTGCCTTTCACCCATGCAAGTCTTCCTTTGCTTCAAATAAAGTTTCCAATAGTTTATCTGATCTTTGTTCTATTTGTATGATTTGACTTTATGATAAAAGTTTGACTTTCCATTTATATTTTGCCTTCCTTTTTGACTCTGAGAAGCCTCACCAAATTACCTGTGAAATAATAGTTACTGTCTGGCCAGTGAATTTATGTTCAGGAAAAAGGACATTAGAAGAGATGGAATTTAAGGACATGAAAGTAGTACTGCTTTAGGCATATTGAGCCTTCCTCTAACTCAATTTGAGTCTGTAAGGATATCTGCATATAATCAAATGTTTTAGTTTT